TTTGTCTCTAATGTGGACTATTGCAGTTGGGATTATGCCCTTTTTAATAGTGCGTGACACCAACAAAGCGCTTGATTGGGGCATAGCACTATTCGAGTCTTGGACCGTTGATGGAGCGGTAGAAACTGGCATTCGTAAATAGGCACCTTGCGTAAAATTGTGTAGAAGTGTGTGATGAACTGATTGACAAATTTTGCATCTAGATTTTGATTGGCATTCTTTCATGCAGTGCGTCTTTCGTAGACAGTTGAAGCATATGCCAGCCTTGCGTACATAATCGATTCGTTGCTGCAGGGATAACTCCTTGAATTTATTGCAGTTGCTGATATAGTACGACGGTGAAGTTGCAATCCACACAGTTCGCATTAGTGGTCACAAACGTCTTCGAAGTTGATGCCTGTTTTACCTTGGGCTTTGCGCCACGCTGATCTGACTGATGCTCGCTTTGGCTCTCAAGATATTGACATCGGCGTTTTAGAGTGTTGCAACAATCCTCCCACGAGGAAAGTTTATCGAAGCCTTGCTGCTCGTCGTACTTCGCTTTGGTTTGGGCGTCTACCTTCGAAAGCAGTATGTGTATCATTATGGCCCCTATTATGAGTTGCATTCGATTTTCGATCTTCGCTGGCTATCGAAGATCGAAAGTGAAATTCGTATTATGCAAGCTATGCAAGCGTATCGAAATTTTCGTTGAGTATCGAATTTTCTGTTGAACAGAATTTTGCTTTCGTTGGCGTAGCGAAATGTTAGAAAATTTAAGAATTTTATGATTTTACATTTGTTTTCTTACTTTTTGGCGGCTAGACACTAATTTTAAACAATTTGTATTAATTTCAAGCAGTTCTAACGTCGTGAATAGTAAACACAAGCTCGAAAGTCTGGTTTTACATATGAAAGAAAATCCCTATACGCTGTTGGCACGATCTCTGAAAACAAAATCATGGAGCTGTTTATAGTTTTAATATATTTTAGATAGAATTGGATCACAAAATTTCTTAAATATATTGTATGTCTCAACAATTTTTATGAGCTCGAGGCCGTTTTCAGTGAAAACTTATTGTCCATTGTTATTTCACTGAAAACGGCCTCGAGCTCATAAAAGTTGTTGAATATAATTGTTATAAAGGCCATAAAAATAACCAAAACAAATACATTGTATGTCAAAATATATTCAAAAGACTGCACTTAAACTCTCACGTTTTCTGCTCCTGGCCAGTTTTTTAAGCCCTCATCCTCTGACGAATCGTTCAACCAGAACTCCGTTGTGCTAATTAAAATTTTTTTTACCACGGTTTTATAAACTCGCTTCCTTTTTTATTTCATTTTATTTTGCACAAATATATATATATGTATAAGCACGCTATTTAGTTTGCTCGATCTGTAAACAAAGTTTCTCAGCGGTAAAAAAATATACTATTGTGAACAACCTAAACGAGCGAAATTCACAATAGCGCTATTCTTCATCGAATGAGCGCCATAATACCAAATGAAAATTCGTTCGCTCAGCACTTTCGACCACAGTCGAAGATCGAATGCAACTCATAATAGGGGCCTATGTTGTTCATAATTTCTTCAGCCGACCCTATAGAAAGAAGAGATCCACGTATAGCGGATGCATTATCGACAAGTTTCTGTAGCGTTGTTGTTGTTGTAGCGGCTACAACAACTCCGCCCAGGACGGTTGGTATCTCAGTCGTTGTCGTCAAGTTCCACTAACGGCAACCTTAGGAAGCGTGCAGCTTCTGTGGGGTTTGTCCACAGGGACAAGGCCGTTAGGGTTGTCGGGATTTCCGGACATGCGAAGAGATGTTTCGAGTCATGTGGGGTATCTCCGCATGCCGGACACTCATTCGGCACATCCTCATTCAATCTACTCAGGTAGGAGTTTAACTTGCTGCAGTAGCCGGAGCGAAGTTGTGCGAGTCTCCCGAGGCTGATGAAGCTCCGTCTCGTCTGTATGCCTATAACGGCATTCACAGGTCTAGAGTCTACATAACTCGAGACTGACTCCCTGTGAATGCCGTTCAGGGCCAGTCGGTAAGCTGTCGGGTCCAGAGGTTGCTTGATGAACCTCTGGACTTCGCCCGTCAGTTCATATAGATGCCTCCTGACATACCTAGGCGAGGGCTCCTCTGCAAGCAGCTGTCTGCTTGGGTGGCCACTTCTGTGGCTCCCGATCAGGAACTGCTTGCAGAGCATTATATTGTGCTCCTTTACGGGGAGCATTTGCGCCTCGCCGTGTAGATGGTGTTCGGCCGACATCAGGAGGCATCCTGTCGCTGTCCTGAGTGCGGTGTTCTGTACAGTCTGTAACTTGGTCCACTGCGTCCTACTAGTCCCCGGCGACCACACTGGCGCTGCGTAGTTCAAAACCGGCCGGCCTATTGCCTTGTATGTTGGCAGCAACGTTTCTTTGTCTTTGCCCCAAGTACTGCCGGCTAGCGACTTGAGAACCTTGTTGCGGCTCTGTACTTTATTGACAATAGCGGTTGAGTGCGC